GAGAGAGAGAGAGAGAGAGAGAGAGAGAGAGAGAGAGAGAGAGAGAGAGAAACGCCCCACAAAAATTGTTCAAATTTCCCACTTTTTGATGAAAAAAAAAAATCCCAAATTGTACAAATATGAAGGAATATTTTCAACATGTTCCTTGCATTGAATCTGTGAGAACAACATTCCGTTTTACTGGTTACAACTTCCCAGTAGTGACCTTAAAAAAACAGCTTCCTTTTTAAAACCTAATTTTCTGGAAACAGTGACGCTGTGTTTTAGATCAGATCATTTATCTGCACCATGAAGTCTAATGTTAGCGCACTATTCTAACATTTTTACACCACAGAAGTAAATATCTCTCTGTAATTAGGTAGAATAAAAAGCTGTGTACACTCCTCAGTATAATCTCATAGCAGAAATATGACAGAATAAATAAAGCTCAGTTTTGCGTATCTCTTGCAACTAACACTGTTTAAAACAGATCATCATTTATTTCAAAAATCATGGACAATGTACAATAAAAGTTGTCCTGTAAATAMAATAAGGTGAGTAAGAAAAAACAGATAATAATCCTAAAGTATTCATGTCTTTTGTCAGCACGTTGAATTGCTGAGTARTAATAATAAATAAAATAAAATAAAATAAATAATGTGGTTTGGAAGCTGTGATAGCTGTAAATTCCAACTCACCAGCTTTTATTCTCAAAATGACGTGGGTCATTTTGACCCAAGTGCAGCAGGAAGGTGCATTTAATTTTCAGCTGTTCTGATTTATGAAGTCAATCAGGACATTTGTCATTTTGTTTTATAAACCCAATGTTGGCCGAGACGAAGYTTAAACCATAACCTGCTGTTCCTCYTCAGATAAGACATCAGAGGACTCAGCAGGGGAGGATGGCTCCTCCAATTCCTTTTTGGCGATGGTGATGGAGCAGTCATCGTGGTCTTCGGTGAGGTCGGGGCYGTTGCATCTGCTGCTGTCAGAAGGTGAGACGTAGGTGTACTCACACACAGGGCAGGCCTGGTCCGTGTAGCTGGCTTTAAAGTCTTCTTTTGTCAGGCCATTGGGGAACTGAAACCAATCCTTCATGAACAAAAGAAAAATCTCAAACTGTCATCGTGACCTCATAAAGTCAATATTTAAATGTAACCTGTSCTGAAAAAACGAGTCACAATGAAGTAGTAGTAGTGAATTAGTGTCAAATTCTCAATCTCAAAAGCTTAAAAATGGTCCAACTARGCGATTTATCACCTGGTTATACAAACTGGTTTGAAGCTCGTTTAAAGGGCCTGTAACATCARTTTTTTTGTGATAAAAGTGATTGCACTTTTGGAAAGATAACATGGATARCATATTGYAAAAGCAATCTCACACCACTGAGATGAACAGTTGTTGAGATATTTGCATGTGAAGTAACAGGAAGTGATGTTAATGTCTGCATGTAAACAGAGCATTGCTACAATGGCTAACAACACAGACAGCAGGGAAGTTTTTGATGTTTCTTGAGATAGTTTTAGCCCCTATAAGAGAGAGATAAATAAGAGTTCAAATAATAATGTTTCAATAAACAGAGACCACGGAGTTTTCTTTCTTAAAGAGTTCCCCTTTGATGTCACTTCCTATTTC